TGGAGCCAGGAGTCATGCCTGCAGGGGGGCAGTGCCTATGTCATCGTATACTCCATCGCAGACCGAGGCAGCTTTGAGAGTGCCTCTGAGCTCCGCATCCAGCTGCGGCGCACACATCAGGCAGACCATGTGCCCATCATCCTCGTGGGCAACAAGGCGGACTTGGCCCGCTGCCGAGAAGTCTCTGTGGAAGGTGAGCCCTCCATCCCACCCCCTCCTCTTCCCCTGGGCCCCGCTGTCATGGCTGCTTCTCCAGCGCTCTTCATCTCAGTGACTGTCCCTGCCAAGCTGCCCCTACCCTGCAGCCACTTGCCTAAGCCTGAAAGCTAGGAACCATTCTTGTCTCCCACTCACCACCCCCAAACCAGTCCCCAAGTCCTGTCAGGCCACCTCCGTTAATCCCACATTCCCTTCCCTCTCTGCCTACAGTCTCTGTGCTATCCTGGCATCTCCACCTTCTCCAGTCCTCCCACTTCTCAATTATTCCTCCTTGCCAGCTGCCAGAATTTTCCAAGACCAGAGTTGAATTTGCACTTCTTAAAAATTCGTGTATGTGGTGGGGCATGGTGGCTCACAACTATAATCCTAGAACTTTGGGAGGCCAAGGCGGGAGGACTTACTTGAGCCCAGGAGTTTGAGACCAGCTTTGGCAACACAGCAAGACCCTCTCTCTACAAAAAATAAAAAATAATTTTAACTCTTTTTTTAAAAAAAATTCTGGCCAGGCCCAGTGGCTAACGCCTATAATCCCAGCACTTTGGAAGACTGAGGCAAGTGGATCACTTGAGGTCAGGAGTTCAAGACCAACCTGGCCAACGTGGTGAAACCCCATCTTTACTAAAAATACAAAACTTAGCCAGGCATAGTGGTGCACACCAGTAATCCCAGCTACTTGGGCAGCTAATGCATGAGAATTGCTTAAACCCAGGAGGCTGAGGTTGCAGTGAGCCAAGACCACGCCACTGTACTCCAGCCTGGGTGACGGAATGAGACTCTGTCTCAAAAAAATAATAATAGTAATTTCCTCTGTGGCTCCCCTAGCCCCTTAATCAGAGACACTTTATCCACCAGTATGATAGGCCCAGTGCCTACAGGCCTTTCAAGGGCTTACATTTGAGAACTGAAAAGAACCATTACTGGCTCCAAAATATAGTGAAAAAAATTAGAAATTTAAATTTCACAAAGCTTTAATTGTCTGTAAAACATATTTTGTCAGCAAGCAACTACAAACTAAAACTTTAAATGTCATATATGGATTGTATTTACAATGGGATGGGGAATATTTTAATAAGTTTGACATATCAGATGGGGCCCATAACAATTTTTAAATGGTCTTACTCACAGAATAAAATCTAAAAAATATGTAAACTGAGACCTAGAAAGGAAAAGTCAGTTTCACAGTCACCAGCCCCTGAAGACTAGAACTCGGGCCCAGTGGCATCCTGGAGGTGGAAGACCGTAAGCTTTGTGAACAGACATCCAAAAAAAAAAAAAAAACTGCAACATAAGCCCCAGGAGATTTTGTTAAAGCACAGATTTCCAGACCTACAGAATCAGAGACTCTGAGGGTGGGTCCAGGAATCTGCATTTTAACAAGCTCCTCCAGGTAATTCCGATCCACAGCAAATTAGACCCTTTACCTGGCATTCAACGTGACCCCTCCCTGGCCCCAGCCTCTCTGTCTTCCCTCAAAGACCAGTCTGATTTATCTGAGTCCCCAGACAGCAACACGAGGTATGGGCACAGGAAAAATTTCTTCCAATCAAGACTGAACACATCTTTTCCTACCTTTTTCTCCGCCTTCCGGTTATGGCTCCACCCCTGCTCGTCGGGCCCCGCCCCCTCAGAGGGCCGCGCCTGCGCTGTGGTGTTCGACTGTAAATTCATCGAGACCTCCGCCACGCTGCAGCACAATGTGGCTGAGCTCTTCGAGGGCGTGGTGCGCCAACTGCGCTTGCGCCGCCGGGACAGTGCGGCCGAGGAGCCCCCAGCACCCCGACGGCCGACCAGCCTAGCCCAGCGCGCTCGTCGCTTCCTAGCACGTCTGACAGCCCGCAGCGCACGCCGCCGGGCACTCAAGGCCCGCTCCAAGTCCTGCCACAATCTGGCCGTGCTCTGAAGCCTCCCGCCCTTCTGAGAGTTGGCGGGTCGCTGAGTTGCCTTATGGGTTCCACGGACGCCACTGCGGGACAAAGGCGCCGTTACCTGGAGTCTGCATCATGTGTCTTGCTTGCCTGCTGCCCTGATGGCCTGAGCATCCCCCAGATCCAAGCCTGGGGGACCCCGGGAAAGCGATGAACAGACAGACGACGGGGCCGAAGCCCCAAGCTGGGCACAAAGTAGTTTTTTACGTGGTGGGTGTCTTTTTGTAAAAAATCTTCCTTGTCCCTGGGCTCTGGCCAACCCTCAGAAACCCTCACAATAAACCAGACCAGAAGGATGTCCCGTCTGAATGCCCAGACATCTCTGTCTCGGCTCTTCCAGGCGTCTCCACCTACTGCCCTCCCATCTACACTTGACTGTAGACTGACTGGTTTAGCCTGCCGGCTGGGCGTCAGGGCCAATCAATAAAGTACTTGGACCAATTTTGTGCTCAGGCCCTTCTCCCGACAGTGGATCACAACCACAGTTTCGTGACCAGCTACTTTCTCATTAACCCATTTTTTACGTTCTAGATTCACATGTCTGGAAGGACCTCAGTACTCATCCTGGCAATAGAATTGCTGGCGTTTGTTGGGAGCTGTGTACTAAGCTGTCGCAACAATTAATCCTCCCAACACCTGGGAGAAGGGTGTTACGATTAACGTCATTTTGCTCATTAGTAAACTGAGGCACAGGACACCGAAGGCTCACCGAAGATCATACAGCTGCTATATGCGAAGTTGCCAGGATTCCAGCCCAGGCTTGTCAGACTCTAGTGACCAACATATCCATTGTCCTCTTTAAAGATGATACAAAACCCTATAGAATCTTGGGAAAATGAATTTAAAAATGTAATTTCACATCCAATTTAAACGAGGTTGGGGCAGGAACTCTATGAAACTCAATCCATTAATCCCCGGGATGGACCCCAGTTTAATCCGACTCACTCATTTCCCGAAGGCAGAAACAAGCCTAGAGAGGGGAGGTGAGCATGCCAGAGTCGCCCAGCCAGGGAAGACTACACCCCAGGGCCCAGCCTCCTCCTGGGTCTCACTTTGGCTGTGCGGGAGGAAGGAGGTGGTGAGGCATCCAGCCTGGCTGGGGTCAGGGCTGGGTGTTGGGGATCAGGTCAGGAGTTTCCAGCCCGAAAGGAAGGGGTGTCACGGCTTTGAGAAGAAAACAAGACGCAAACCGTTATGACCATCATGTCCCTGACGCCGGACATCCCTTCCCCCAACTAGCCCAGACGCCAGTCCCGGGGTAAGCGGTGCAGAGAAAGACGGCAGGACCCGCCAGCCAGCCAGCCACGTCCTCCAGCCGCGACTCCCCGCACCCCAGCCTTCCAAAGGGGACGGATGGCACTCAATCCCACACCCCAACCCCAGCCTGGGGAAGGGAAGAGAAGGAAGGTCTTCCCCCACCCCAAGCTGTCTCCGGCCTGCGGTCAGGGGGAGGGGCTCTAGCTGTGGAAAGTTGGCAGAGGCAGCCGGCAGCAGCCGGGAGAGTGGAAAAAATGATATCAAACCCGGAAAAATGCAGGCCGGATGGAGGGCCGGAGTGGGCCCTGGGAGGTGAGAGGGCGGGAGGGAAGAGGAGAGGGGGAAGAGCTGAGAAAAGAAGAGGGGCGCGGGAGAGAGTGCAGGAGCTGGCTTTAGAAAACTGAGTACGATCGCCCTCATCCCCTCCTTTCTTCATCTACAAATATTTATTGAGGGCCTACTAAGTGCCGGGCACAGTGCCAGGCTCCGGGGAGATGTGGCGAACAGAAAGAGGGAGCTCACTGCTCAGTAGCTCACAGTAGGGTGGGCTGGCAGACTAGAAAACAAATCAGCAAATAAAAGAATCACAAACTGATAAGGAGCTGAAAATTAGAGTAGTCAGGGAAGAACCTGAAGATAATCCAGTCCAATCCCCCAGCCTCAGATGGGAAAACTGAGGGCCAGAGAGAGAGAGAGAGCTTACCCCAGGCCACTCAGAATGTGGAAGAAATACTTGAGAACGGGATAGGGGAGGAAAGGGGGAGGGAAGAAAGAACTGGTGCTGGCCGGGCGCGGTGGCTCAAGCCTGTAATCCCAGCACTTTGGGAGGCCGAGGCGGGTGGATCACGAGGTCAGGAGATCGAGACTATCCTGGCTAACATGGTGAAACCCCGTCTCTACTAAAAATACAAAAAAAAACTAGCCGGGCGTGGTGGCGGGCGCCTGTAGTCTCAGCTACTTGGGAGGCTGAGGTGGGAAAATGGCGTGAACCTGGGAGGCGGAGCTTGCAGTGAGCCGAGATCACGCCACTGCACTCCAGCCTGGGAGACACAGCGAGACTCCGTCTCGAAAAAAAAAAAAAAAAAAAAAAAAAAAGAAAGAACTGGTGCAGATCAAGATAGGGAGGTGGGAGGTGTTGAGGAAGGAAAGTTATGCAGCCAGCACAGCAAGAGGGCAGGGTGATTGAAGACATTGCCCTGAACCAGGGGGTGTGCGTTCAAACCTTGCTCCCCTCCATCTCTCTGTGCCTTAGTTTCTCCATCTATAAAACGGAATTCATGACAATTCTTTCATTTAGGATCGATGTGAGGATTAAATGATTCAAGTTGTGTAAAATGCTTTAGACACTTTCTGTGTCTAAGAAGATTCAATAAATGTGGGCTCCCGCTAGCATATCTTTTTTTTTTTTCTTTTTTTAAACAGGGTCTCACTCTGTCTGTTGCCCAGGCTGGAATGCAGTGGTGCGATCACAGCTCGCTGCAGCCTCCACCTCCCAGGCTCAAGCCATCTTCCCACCTCAGCCCCCCAAGTAGCTGGGACTACAGGCACATGCCATTATGCCCAGCTAATTTTTTTTTTTTTTTTTTTTTTTTTTTTTAGAGGAGACAAAGTTTTGCTGTGTTGCCCATGATGGTCTCAAATTCCTGAGCTCGAGAGATCCTCCCACCTCAACATCCCAAGGTGCTGAGATTTCAGGCATGAGCCACTGGGTCCCACTCTGCTATCCTATTTTAAGGCCTTGCAGAAACCAGGATATGTTATGGGTAAGATATTCTGAGACTGTGAAGACCTGCTTATGAGTCTTTGCCTGGCATATGTGTTCACATGTTTTTGTCTGTCTGCCCCACAGGAATGAAAGCTCCTTGAGGGAAGGGCCCTCAGTGCTGCTCTGACCCCAGCACCTACAACAGTGCCTGGCTCATAGTAGGTGCTCAGTAAATATCTGTTGAATGGATTAATTCATTATCCATTAATAGATACCCATTAATTCATTATCCATTACCTGTAAAGTTGCCCTTCCAATCCTGTCCTCTCTGATTCTAGGTGTCTGTGAATAAGGAATGGCTGGGAAAGCATGTGAGAAAACCACACTCTCCCTCAGCCTATTATAGTTTAAAAAGTACTTTCTTGTCCATAAAAACAAAACAAAAAAAATAATAACTAACTTCGTTTTAACTCTCTGTGTTAGTGTTGGGCCCCATGCTACATGCTGGGTACACGTTTTCTCACGTGCTCACCACCACAACCCTCTACTTAATAGGTACTTGTTTAATACATGAGGACACAGAGGCCAGGAGAACCCAAGAATCTCTGCAAGGCTACACAGCAAGAAAAGGCCAGATCAGTGGTCGAGAGGCAGGCAGGAATTGCCATCCTAGTTGTACAATTAGAGAAACCGAGACTCAGAGAAAGAAGATGAGTTGTCCAAGCCCAAAGTCATGTAATAAACAGCAAGCAGTTACATCACTCTTACTATATACCAGGTGCTGTCCTAAGTGTTTTTCATACATTAATCATTAAATCCTGAAAACTGATCATATTATCACCACCCCAGTTTTCAGATGGAGAAACTTGTAGCACAGAGTTCAGTACCCCACCAAGATTGCACAGTTAGCAAGTAGCAGAACCAGAATTCAAACCAGGGAGGTCTAGCTCACCCCGTTAAGGGGTGGTCTGTGTTACACCATTTGTTTGTACAGCAAGCCTGGAACAGGCTGGTATAAGAAGGTAGGTGTCTTTGTCTCCAGCCCTGCTGCCTGCGCTAGGGGCAAGACAGAGAACAAAAGCAGATTGACAGTATCCTCAGCTGCCAGCTGGGACTTTCCACCTTGAAGGGAGGATACTGTTATGGAAAAAATGATAAAGCTCTGGGAAGATGGATGTCTCCCCAGGGGCCGCCAAGCCTCCTCAGAGTCCCTCCCCTTGCTGTGGGGAGGGCCACAAACTGTGCTGGCCTGGTCCAGATGAGACAAAGGCCACCTGGATCCCAAGACACCCAGCCAGGCTGCTCAAATACTGAGGATCATTGGCCTTGGTGGAAAGTTCCAATTTCTCATCCCAGGAATGAAGCTTCTGCTCAGGGACCCCCGAGGAATCAGGTTAGGGCTGGAGCTCCCTGTCCTTGAAGATGGGAAATATACATCTCATAGGGCCCGCTCCCTCCTTTCTTCATTCAGCAAACATGGACAAGGATGTGGGCTCTGAAGGAAGGTAGAGAATGTAGAGAGGATCACAGCTGGTGGGTACAGGAACTTCCAAGTCCCTGCCCTGGCCACGAAGGGAAAGGGAGGGTAAAAGAGGGGTAGAAGTAGTGAAAAAATCACCTACAACTGCTTTGTAACGGCTAAGAATCCCTCAGGTCTGTCATGACCATATGACCTTAGGCAAATCAAAATATACAGAGTGAAGGGGTTAGCATAGAATTCTCTATGTAATTGTCTCTGTCTCCAGAATATTTAAATATTGTAGTTCAACAGCTTGAAAAAATATACAAGTTCAGTTTCAATTTGAGCACTGTTCCCTTCTGTTCAGTTCAGGGTTCAGTTAAAAATAATACGAATGATGGGATGGGAGCTCTGGGTGCAGCAATGCATGTGGTTTTACCCAGTTCCATATGGTTCAAGTTCAGGGCTAGGGTGTGTGAATATGTGCGTGTGTGCGTTGTGGCTTACATTCCCATGCATTGTGTATGTGACCATTTATTGGTGGAAAAGCATAGGCTTTGGAACTAGAAGAACCCTGTGTTTAATCCCACCTCAAGCACTTGATCTCTTTGTGAGCTGGGTTCTTCTTTCCTTCATTTTGAAATGAGAAGTGATAATTCTTATCCCATAGGATTAAATGAGATTTTTAGTACTTAAGAAAGAACCACTATATGCCATTGGTAATGTACTTCCCCTCTCTAGGCCTCAGTTTTCTCATCGGGAAAGTGGGGATATTAATAGTATTTCTTGGCCAGGCACAGTGGCTCATGCTTGTAATCCCAGCACTTTGGGAGGCCGAGGTGGGCGGATCACCTGAGGTCAGGAGTTCAAGACCAGCCTGGCCAACATGTTGAAACTCCATCTCCCCATTAAAAAAAAAAAAAAAAATTGGGCCAGGTGCGGTGGCTCACACCTGTAATTCCAACACTTTGGGAGGTGGAGGTGGGTGGATCACGAGGTCAAGAGATCGAGACCATCCTGGCTAATATGGTGAAACCCTGTCTCTACCAAAAATACAAAAAATTAGCCGGGCGTGGTGGCGGGTGCCTGTAGTCCCAGCTACTTGGGAGGCTGAGGCAGGAGAATGGTGTGAACCTGGGAGGCGGAGCTTGCCGTGAGCTGAGATCACGCCACTGCACTACAGCCTGGGCAACAGAGCGAGACTCCGTCTCAAAAAAAAAAAAAAAAATTAGCTGGGCATGGTGGCATGTGCCTGTGGTCCCAGCTGCTCAGGAGGCTGAGGCAGGAGAATCACTTGAATTCCGGAGGCAGAGGTTGCAGTGGACCAAGATCATGTCCCTGCACTCCAGCCTGGGCGACAGACCAAGACTCTATCTCAAAAAAAAAAAAAAAAAAGTATTTCTCACTAAGGGTCGATGTGAGAATTCGATCAGGTTGGCTATTTCTTAGCATGATGCTTTGCACACGGTAAACACCCAATAAATTGTAATGCATTTCCATGCATTACTTTATACTTTTTCCCACATATGTAGTTTGCTAAGGCAAAGTATTGGATGCTTTTAAACATCATACTATACGTATCCTTCAGCTTTATTATTTTTCACATTCAACATTATATTTATGAGATTCCTTGTGTTGAAATCTGTAACTGTAACTATCGTTTTCATCACTGCACAGTATTCCATTGTATGAACATATAAGATTTATTTATCTTTTCTTCCTGTTGATGGACTTTTTTTCTGCTATAAACAATGCACTATGAACATTGATGTGCCTCTTTGAGCACATATATGAGAGTTTCTCTTTCCATCTTTCCACTCTGCCATCTTCTGGGTCTCAGCTTGCCCTGGGGTAGCTACCCTTAGGGTCCCAATATGGCCACCCCAGTTTCAGACATCAAACATGGACATGACCAAGTCCAGGCAAAGCAAAAAGGTTGTTTCTTCCTCAGCACGTCCCTTTCATCAGCAAGGAAATTCTTCCAGAGCCCTCTAGCAAATATCCTTCATTTCTCACTGGCCAGAATCTGGTTACATGGCCACCTTCAAACTAATCAGTGGCTTAGGTTAATCAGGGTTTGCATGGGCACACCAAGAAGAAAAGCTAGAGCTGGGTTAACACCCCAGGTGCTCTAGTCAGGCAGTCAAGGGTGCATGCTCTTAGTTTTTCCAGTCTTACAAAACAGTCCAGAGTGTGACCATTCCAAATCCAGTCCACTTCAGGGTCTGCCCAACTCTGTGAATGAGGATAGGTGCCTTTTCACAGAATTGTCTGGAATGAAACTTTGGGAGGCCAAAGTGGGCGGATCGCCTGAGGTCATGAGTTCAAGACCAGCCTGGCCAACATGGTGAAACCCTGTCTCTACTAAAAATACAAAAAAAAAAACAAAAAACAAAAAAATGCCAGACATGGTGGCGTGCGCCTGTAATCCCAGCTACTTGGGAGGCTGAGGCAGGAGAATCCCTTGAACCAAGGAGGCAGAGGTTGCAATGAGCCAAGATTGCAGCACTGCACTCTAGCCTGAGCAACAGAGCAAGACAATGTTTCAAAAAAAAAAAGATTGGAAAGCAATTTTTGAGTCTTACACACACACACACACACACACACATGCATACATATTAATTCCAAAACTGAAACCAGGATTCACTAACTCAAATGCTCACAGAGTCAGATCGATAATATAAGTCAGTGAAGTTGACTGGGTAGAAGACATTAGGGAGCATCAAGGTCTGTAGCAAACTGGAATCAGCTGCCTTGCCTAAAGGGAGGATAGGAACTAAGCTGCCTGTGACTGCTGTTAGAATGTGAATCCAGGCCGGGCACGGTGGCTCAAGCCTGTAATCCCAGCACTTTGGGAGGCTGAGGTGGGTGGATCACGAGGTCAAGAGATCGAGACCATCCTGGCTAACATGGTGAAACCCCGTCTCTACTAAAAATACAAAAAATTAGCCGGGCGTGGTGGCAGGCGCCTGTAGTCCCAGCTACTCGGAGGCTGAGGCGGGAGAATGGCGTGAACCTGGGAGGCGGAGCTTGCAGTGAGCCGAGATTGCGCCACTGCACTCCAGCCTGGGCGACACAGCGAGACTCCATCTCAAAAAAAAAAAAAAAAAGAATATGAATCCAGTGTTGCCGGATACCACATGTCAGTTTTTCTAAGAAAGGCAGAAAGCCTTTATGTGAAATATCCCAATCCTTTTGTCTTGAGACAGGGTCTCACTCTGTTGCCCAGGCTAGAGTGCAGTGGTGTGATCACAGCTCACTGCAGCCTCAACCTCCCAGGCTCAGGGGATCTGCCTGCCTCAGCCTCCCAAGTAGCTGGGCCACAGGCATGCACCACCAGGCCCAGCTAATTTTTTTTTTCTTTTTTTTTTTTGTACAGAGTTGCTCAGGCTGGCTTCAAACTCCTGGACTCAAATGATCCTCCTGTCTTGGCTTCCCAAAGTGCTGAGATTACAAGCGTGAGCCTCTTCACCCAGCCCTAATTCTTTCTTTCTTCCTTTTTTTTTTTTTTTTGGAGACAGAGATTCGCTCTTGTTGCCCAGGCTGGAGTGCAATGGTGCGATCTCTGCTCACTGCAACCTCTACCTCCCAGATTCAAGCAATTTTCCTACCTCAGCCTCCCGAGTAGCTGGGACTACAGGCGTGCACCACCACACCCAGCTAATTTTTTGTATTTTTATTAGAGATGGGATTTCTTCATGTTGGTCAGGCTGGTCTCGAATTCCCAACCTCAGGTGATCCGCCCGCCTCGGCCTCCCAAAGTGCTGGGATTACGGGCATAAGCCACTGTACCTGGCCACCCAGCCCTAATTCTTAAATAATTATTGCTAATTGTCATTTTGTGTTTTGTTTGTTTGTCTGTTTGTTTGTTTTGAGACGGAGTCTAACTCTGTTGCCCAGGCTGGAGTACGGTGGCACGATCTTGGCTCACTGCAACCTCTGCCCCCCAGATTTAATCGATTCTCCTGCCTCAGCCTCCTGAGTAGTTGGGATTACAGATGCCTGCCACTGTGCCCTGCTAATTTTTTTTTTTTTTTTAGTAGAGATGGGGTTTCACCATCTTGGCCAGGCTGGTCTTGAACTCCTGACCTTGTGATCCACCCGCCTTGGCCTCCCAAAGTGCTGGGATTACAAGCATGAGCTACCGTGCCTGGCCTAATTGTGATTTTTTTTTAAACCCTGGTGCCTGGGCACAGTGTTTCACACCTGTAATCCCAACACTTTGGGAGGCCGACGTGGGTGGGTCATTTGAGGTCAGGAGTTCGATACCAGCCTGGCCAACATGGTGAAACCCCATCTCTAGTAAAAATACAAAAATTAACCAGGCGTGGTGGTGTGCACCTGTGGTCCCAGCTACTCAGGAGATTGAGGCAGGAGAATCACTTGAACCCGGAAGGCAGAGGCTGCACTGAGCCGAGATTGCGCCACTGCACTCCAGCCTGTGCAACAGAGCAAGACTCTGTCAAATAAATAACTAAAACCCTGGCAGAACAAGCAAAACATGTCTACTAACCAAATTCTGACCAGAGGTTAGCAGTTTATAACCTCTGGTCTAAATCCAAATAGTGATAAAGAAATGTACTCTTAGCCATCCCCTAGTCCGCAAAGTTACCGCTAGCTCCATGCAGTTAGTACATAATTATAAAGAACAGCTTGGGCCGGGCACGGGTGCTCACTCCTATAATCTCAACACTTTGGGAGACTGAGGCAGGTGGATCACGAGGTCAGGAGTTCGAGACTAGCCTGGCCAGCATGGTGAAACTCCATCTCTACAAAAAATACAAAAAATTAGCCAGGCATGGTGGCAGGCACCTGTAATCCCAGCTACTAGGGAAGCTGAGGCAGGAGAATTGCTTGAACCCGGGAGGCGGAGGTTGCAGTGAGCCGAGATTGTGCCACTGCACTCCAGCCTGGGCAACAGAGCAAGACTCTCTTAAAAAAAAAAAAAAAAAGAAGAAGAAGAAGAAGAACAGCTTGGGCCAGGTACAGTGGCTCTTGTCTGTGATCCCTTTACTTTGAGAGGCCAATACCAGTGAATCTCTTGAGCCCGGGAATTCAAGAGCAGCCTGGGCAGCATGGTGAAACCCTATCACTACAAAAATTACAAGAATTAGCCAGGTGTGGTGGCCACACCTGTAGTTCCAGCGACTTGGGAGGCTGAGGCGGGAGGATCCCCTGAGCCCTCGAGCTCAAGGCTGCAGTGAGCCGTGATCGCACCACTGCACTCCAGCCTAGGCAACAAAGGAAGACGCTGTCTCCAAAAAAAATAAAATAAAATAAAAGGGAAAAGTTCAGAAATAGGTTTTATTTTTATCAAGGAGGAAATTGTTCTACCAGAAGTTTTCC